TGGCCAGTCAGGGTAATGCAGAGAGTATGTCTCCCTTGGAGCAGCAGCCGTGGCACCCAGTGGCCAGTCAGGGTAATGCAGAGTTGCCAGTAGGTGTGGCATCAGTCTCTTGCCGTTTGGCGGGTGGGGGCTGAGGTGGGCTAGAGAAAAAAATTTGGGGAGCTCTTCATGACCTGGCTCCACCCCTCATGGTGGCCATGCTTCTGCTCCTTGTTAAAGGCCAGCTCATCTCCTCTCCCCCCGGCCAGGGTTTACAGCAATATAACCTTTATTAAAATAAAATAGTAAACAGGATTTACTCCAAGTCCATCTAAATAATCTAAATCTGTCCAAATTTTAGTATTAAATCCAAAATCCTCTTAAATATCCCATCAGAATCCAAAAATCTAAAGCAAAATTTGAAACTGCAACCAATGCTTAATTTAAAACCCAAACATTAAGAAAAGCTGATTTTGTTTTTAAAAAACAAAAAATAACAAATGCCATAAAGTATCAAAAAAGAGTGCTACAGCAGGATGATAAAATAACAAAATAAATAAGCCCTACTATTAAAATCACCTATAAAGCAATTGAATAGTTGAATACTGGCCAAATCTGTATAAAAATATGCAGAACTATGTCAAAACCAGTATTGCATGTCAGACATTCCAATCCCGCAAACGTCAATTAAAAGCTCCACTTCAACTAAAAACCAAAACAAAAAACCAAAACAGTCAATCTTAAACAAACCTGCACATAAGCAAAATTAAACCTGTACCAGCTTTGGAACAAACTATGTAATTTTCTAATTCTAACTTCTTGTTTCACCCAGGAGGGAAAGTGTTTTGTAGCCCCAGTAACCGTGCTGTCACGCCAGCATTTCTTTCACTAAATAAGGTTTTTACCAAATATAAATTGACCTTAACATTGTCTAACAGAAATTCTAATTGTATCTTTGCAATAATATCCCAAGTATGCAAGTACGTCCCCTCAGAGCAGCACCACATCCCTCAACTGCTAACCCAAGTGAGTAAGTGATATTCTGCTAGAATCCCACATGATTTATGCATTTGTGAACCCTGGGGCCTAAACTGATGCAAGAAAGGTAAGTGAGAAAGCTCGGAGCTCTCTGACTTCACCTGCTGGAGAGCAGAGAGACTTGACTGAGCGACGTACTAACTAATTTAAATATCAACATTGTTCTCTGGCGGCAGGCTTCTGCTGGAAAGCAAAGGGAGTTGACTGAGCGTGGCAGTATCTTATATGCATATTAAAAGTTGGCAGTTTGGGGACATTGGGGTAAAATTTGAGTAAGTTTTGGGGTTGGGACCCATACTTTTAGCATAGCTTATTGGGAGCCTGCCTAGGCAGAGCCTTCCCCCTGCTGCCCATGGTGGCTGGGAGATTCTGGGTTCCTAAGAACATAGGAATGGACTTCCTGGGTCAGACCAAATGTCCATCTAGCCCGGTATCCTGTCTACTGACAGTGGCAATGCCAGGTGCCCCAAAGGGAATGAACAGAACAGGGAATCATAAATCAGTGGTTCTCAAACTTTTGTACTGGTGACCCCTTTCACATAGCAAGCCTCTGAGTGCGACCCCCTTATAAGTATATTTTAAAGTGTTTTTAATTTAACACCATTATAAATGCTGGAGGCAAAGCAGGGTTTGGGGTGGAGGCTGACAGCTCACGACCCCCCATGTAATAACCTTGCGACTTCCTGAGGGGTCTCGACCCCCAGTTTGAGAACCCCTGTCATAAAGTGATCCATTCCCTGTCAGTCATTCCCAGCTTTTGGCAAACAGGCTAGGGACAGCATCCCTGCCCATCCTGGCTTATAGCCATTGATGGACCTATCCTCCATTAATTTATCGAGTTCTTTTTTGAACCTGTTATAGTCTTGGCCTTCACAATATTCCGACGCCACATGTGGCAGCTGGGAGCTCTGACGTCCGCCCGTGGCGGCTGGGAGCTACGGGGTCCATCTGCAATGGCATGAGGCTGCGGCTTTTCCCGCCACCCATGGTGACTGGGAACTTCAGGGTCTGCCTGCAGTGGCTGGGAGCTGGGGGCTCCCTCTGTTGCCTGCAGCGGCTCAGGGCTGCCTGTGGCATCTGGGAGCTCTGGGGTCTGCCTGCAGCAGCGGGGAGCTGCGGGGTCTATCTGCAGTGGCATGGCCCTGTGCGGGCTCCCCAGCCACCCATGGCTGCTGGGAGCTCCAGGGTCTGAAAAGCTGTGGGGTGCCCAAACCATCAATGGCTGTTTGGAACTCCTGGGTCCACCCGCAGCGGCTGTGAGCTCTGGGGTCTTGTTTAATTAACTGGAAATTGACGACTCCAGGAATCCACTCGGGAGACTAACTCCATGAGCCGGTCGAGGAGTCGGGCAGACTTCGCCTGCGAACATGGCTTCAGGTATTATAGGCCACTGGCAGATCAGGATTCAATGTGGCTCGGGGTCGGGATAGGGTTAGAGGCAGATCCTACACCGGTGCAGAGGTGGTCCCTGGGACCACCCGATTTACCTGAACGGGAAGGGGTTGAGGGGACGCAGCTGGTGGGGGAACAGGCCTATAATCATCTTCCTCTACTCTACACTGCTGGTAAGGAGGAGGTTTAGTTTGTTGTAACATGAGAGTGCACTCTTTATCTTTGCAAATTGGAGCAGCGCTATAAAACAAATACAAATAATTCATTCGTTCTGGTCTTAAATCTTCCAGTATCCCATGTCACTCCCAACGCTTTTTGTAACAGGGATGTATAACGTCCCATAAACCCAATAGGCCCGTGCTTCGAGGAGATGTCTCCGTCTCTACAT